TCACTTCAATGGACTGGCCTCCACTGTGTAGAAGAAATGCAAGATTCTGAAATAATCAGAATTGTACAGTTGGAAGGGGACGCGGGTGGCGCTGTGGTCTAAACCACAGAGCCTTGGGCTTGCTGATCAGAAGGTCGGCGGTTCGAATCCCCGCAACGGGGTGAGCTCCCGTTGCTCAGTCTCTGCTCCTGCCAACCTAGCAGTTCGAAAGCACGTCAAAGTGCAAGTAGATAAATAGGTACCACTCCGGCGGGAAGGTAAACGGCGTTTCTGTGCGCTGCTCTGGTTCACCAGAAGCGGCTTAATCATGCTGGCCACATGACCCAGAAGCTGTACGCCGGCTCCCTCGGCCAATAAAGCGAGATGAGCGCCGCAACCCCAGAGTCGGTCACGACTGGACCTAACGGTCAGGGGTCCCTTTACCTTTACAGTTGGAAGAGACCATGAGGGTCATCTAGTCCAACCCCCTGCAATGCAGGAATATGCAGCTGTCCCACACGGGGATCAATCCTGCAAACTTGGCATTATCAGCACCACTCTCTAAGTAACGGAGCTATAAACAAAGTGATTGAAGCAGTAGCATCAGTGTTCGAAACTCCCATTGTTCTAGGCGCATTTTGCGACAGGGAATTTCATTAGTGCAAGCAGTTTCTGAGCTCTCGGCACAGTACTGCGCCAAAGATTTCAGATTAAAACTGCAGAGTGGAAGGAAAGGAGGACCTTTTTCTGCCTCCCCACTTCCAGCTACTCTCTGAAGACTGGAGAAGAGACCCTCTTAAGAATATTAGGGGGGCGGGCAGGGGAAGGACTAGACCATGTGAAAAATGAACACAAGATTTTAGCTGCAGTTCATTCATTTTCAGCTTTGTATTCTTTTTATTAAAAAAGCACCTAGACATTTCGTTGTTGCGCCCATAACCTAGGTTTAAGGTGCCATTTAGCTCCTTTCATATCTCAGTTTCTAACACTGAGTAGCATTGACAATTATTAAAAGATGAAGCATAACAGCTATAAAAGCTTAGCAAAGCAACTAATTTTTTTAATAACAGAATTCGGGGGGGGGGGGGATTCTTTGGGAAAGATGGATTTTTAAAGCCTGCTAAAAAATCCATAGCGTATAGACATACTTTCCCACAGTTTGACTTTACCCTCAACGGCACATTCTTCCATTGCTCTCCAGACAGACGGATGCCAACAATCATCTAGGCATGCACACTGCACACTTCTGAGAAGAGAGAGCTCCACCGTCTGAGAGCCACCACAAAGAAGGCCCTGTCAGATCAGAATTACTGACCCCTCCATACAGATAGGTTTCAGAAGTTGGTACTTTAGGTGCAGGCTTGTAGGAGCTCCTTTGTGTTCTTGCTCACAATCCAAGGTTCACCAACCAGAATCCCACACTCCCCAAGGCCCAGCCTTCATGCCACTAGAGTTCTCCAATGTTCATAAGCATTCAGGCAAATATTTGGGAGTCGTCAGGGAGAGTAAGATCTGTCAATAGTTTTAAATATGTCTCTTTGACCTTGTGCTGCTTGCAGTGCACACATGCTCAGTCACCTTAAGCCAATTTCCATAATCATTAATAATATTTTTATGCTACTAAATATGCAAAAATCTGTAAGTAGCTTACATAAAACACAATAAGCTTGATTTTTTTAAAAACAAACAAAAGTAAAACAGAATCCACCAATACATTTCTTACCTTATCCAAATCATAGTAGAAAGCCTGAAAGAGAAATGTGCTAAATTTTAGCATGCAGATTACTACATCCACAATCATACAGTGCAGTGCTAGAAAAGTGTTATATTTTTTGGGGGGGAGGGTTAGAAAAAAAAGATGCTGGTACTCACCATGAAGTTGTTACAGTAACTGCCACACTTTTAACATTTTGGGGAGGGTAGTTGTTGCTGGTACTGTAAACCTTTGAGTACCCCCAGAAAAAAGTTCTGGTTTTATTGTTTCAATATATTGTTTTTATGTAGAAGTCTGCTCCTCCTCCTTGTGTTCCAGAGTTCTCAGCATCTTAATTGCAAGAGGGTGTTTTTTCGCTTTTATTAGCTGTGTGGTCCAGGTGGGCTTGAATTAAAGCTTTCACCGCCACAGCAGTGAGAAACCTCTGGCCTCCATCCCAAGAGCCACATGGTCTGGAAGATGTCCACAAAGAACCCATTTTTTGCAGCCTGTCGGAGCTCAGTGGGTCCTTTGAAGGGAGCAAGGAGAAGTTCTTCTGTCCAAAGGGCTGTACTGCTTTTTTTTTTGAAGGCAGGATTGTTGCAGCTCCACAAGCTATTTTTACTAGTAAGGTAAAGGGACCCCTGACAGTTAAGTCCAGTCGCAACTGTAAAGCTCATCTTGCTTTACAGGCCGAGGGAGCCGGCGTTTGTCTGCTCCACAGACAGTTTTTCCAGGCCATGTGGCCAGCATGACCAAGCCGCTTGTGGAGCAACAGAACACTGACACCAGAGCAGTACACAGAAACGCCGTTTACCTTCCCGCCGGAGCGGTACCTATTTATCTACTTGCACTTTGATGTGCTTTCAAACTGCTAGGTTGGCAGGAGCAGGGACTGAGCAACAGGAGCTCATCCCATCACGGGGATTCGAACCACTGACCTTCTGATTGGCAAGCCCAAGGCTCAGTGGTTTAGACCACAGCGGCAGCAGGAGATAAAAGGGTTGGGCTCTGCAGAAATATATTTTGTCCTTCCTATGATTTAGGACTAAATTGGAGTGGGGCAACAGAAGATCCTTTCTGTTTAGATGTTGGTTTGGCCTGGTCATGTATAGAGCATGAAGTTAAGGCTCAATGTTTGGAACAAGTGGTGCATACAGTTCTGTGCCACCACAGATGCCAAGACCGAGTCCTATAAAAATATGGCAGACCACAGGTTCCCTACTCTTTGTTTACAGTGTCTACCAGCAAATTATTGAAGTTAGAAAGAGAGAACAACTTACCAGCCTTGAGTTTCTTCTTGTATCTTTGTGGCATTCTGAGAGGTAATCCAGCTCAGCCTGATGCATTTCCAGATATTCACTACAGGAAGAGAAGAATCAGATGTGATTATTATAAAGGTAAAGGGACCCCTGACCATTAGGTCCAGTCATGGACGACTCTGGAGTTGCGGCGCTCATCTTGCTTTATTGGCCGAGGGAGCCGGCATACAGCTTCCAGGTCATGTGGCCAGCATGACTAAGCCGCTTCTGGCGAACCAGAGCAGTGCACAGAAACGCCGTTTACCTTCCCGCCGGAGCGGTACCTATTTATCTACTTGCATTTGACGTGCTTTTGTTGGCAGGAGCAGGGACCGAGCAACGGGAGCTCACCCCGTCGCGGGGATTCGAACCACCAACCTTCTGATTGGCAAGTCCTAGGCTCTGTGGTTTAACCCACAGCGCCACCCACTATGCATAAATCAGAGGGGATTGTTTTAGGGAAGTGGGAGATATGCAGGAGAGTATTGGGCATGGGAAGGTTACATCTTCACACACATGTATATACTTGCCCCCAAGAAAAGCAAAACATTAGGATCAGCTTAGAACAGATGTTTATAGAATGAATTAAACATGCAAATTAATAATAATAATAAACTAAGTGTTAAAAAAAAGATCTTCAACCAGCTGTATTGCAACATTCTCAGCTTTTAATTAGAAATGCCAATAATCCTGGAATGAAGTGTTCTAATTTAATTGGCTAGCCTGAAGTAGGAACCCTTTCAAAGAAAAGGAGGGAAGTACCCAGTCTCTGCTTAATTACTCTCCTCATTCTCCGATTCCAGCACATCTTCGAAGGAGGTTGATTGGTGGTTACTTTAATCACCTGATATCATTATGACATCCAGGTGATTGACAGGTGGGTAGTCTGGCCCACCTGTAAAAGTAGGCCTGGGAAGGATGGGGTGGGAATCCAGATCCACTTCACCCACCACTGGAAAGATCCAGTTCCCCAACCTTACTCTATGATAATCTATCTATCATCTATATCTATCTATCTATCTATCTATCTATCTATCTATCTATCTATCGTTAACATGAAAGCCTCCTTATTGCCAAAGCAAGGAGGGTTCCCTGGCACTCAACAGATGCTGTTATTGCAATGCTGAATAAAGCCCTAGAACTTCACTCTCCCATTTTACCCCTCTTCTGCACCACGGCTCCCTGCTATTTTGGAGAGTCCGTGGAAACAAGGGAATGAAATGGAAAATGCCTGTTGCCACTGAACAATTACCCTTCAGGGTTCTGGCCTCTTAGCTCCTGCTGGGTCCAGTGGGACACCGCCCTCCCAACACACAAAAAGTAGAAGTAATAGTTACAGACTCAAAACTCCATGTTAGCTCCCAGGGGGCAAAAACCTCCTAGGCTCACATTCCTCTAACTTTGTGAGTTAATTCAGACCAGACATGAATAACTCAATTTTCTCCTCTTGTATTTAAAAAAAGGATGCAGTCAGTGCTTCTTTACAAGATGCAGAACCTAAACAGGTCAATGTGTTTATGTTAAGTAGCCTGTGCCTTTTCCAAGTTACTTTTGGGGGCATTTTCCCCTCCCTCTAACCATTGCAAAGACAGTCCCACCCATCCACCCGAGACACATTGTTCCTCCAGAATCCAGCCATTTGATCATCTGCCAGTTAACACAAGAACAGTGGTCTCCGAAGCTAGTTTAAATATTTCTGCACTCCAACCTCTAAAACGCGGCAGCGCAGTAAACTTACTGGAGCGAAAGGTTTGCTTGCTCTTATTTCATAAATTCCCAAGCCAAGCAAAGATAACACAAAACAAGTAGCTACCTGCATCAAAGGAAATTTATTATCCAAGAAAGCCATTCAGGAGCTGAACAGCTAGCTATTTATTTATGATTGCTAGCGATTTTGGCATATATATATATATATATATATATATATAGGGGGGTGTCAGCGTTTGTCAAATTAAAAGTATAAGGCATGGATCAAGGCAGCACTACCTTTAATTATAACACAACAATCCTTTCCCTCAATGGATATTGGTGGCAAGAAGTTGGTAGAGCATGAGGCTCTTAATCTCAAGGTTGTGAGTTCAAGCCCCACGTTGGACAAAAGATTCCTGCATTGCAGTGAGTTGGACCAGAAGACCATCGTAGTCCTTTCCAACTCTAAAATTCTATTATTCTACATTGTTGACTACTATCTGTTGGGCCTTCTCCACATGGCTGAGTAATAATAATAATAATAAATAATAAATTTTTATTTATACCCCGCCCGCCCTGGCCAAAGCCAGGCTCAGGGAGGGTAACACCAATAAAATTACAATAAAACATAATGGGGGGGGGACAAACAAACGAACAAAAACCAGTTTATTAAAATACGGGTTAAAATACAATTTAAATGGTCATGTGTACATTTTCTTGGTTCCACTGAACTCCCCAAGGCTCTTTCTTCCCAGTAAGCAGGAACACCTCAAGGTGAGATGACTGCAAAAGGCTGTAAGTGGGACTGCTTTGAAGGGTGGTTTAGAAACTGCAGCTGGTGCAGAATCCTGACCGCTGACCAGAGCAAGACAGTCTGACCATATAGCAGCCATCATGGCATGACTGCACTGGCTGCAAATTAGTTTCCAGGCCCAGTTCAAAATCTTGGATTTGATCTATAAAGTCTTCCACAGGACCACAATACCAACTCTACAAGTCTATGAGTCTATTGTAGGGCCGTCTCTCCCCTCGTGGATCAAACTGGACCTTGCATTTGTCATCTGAGGCCTTTCTCCCTGAGAAAGGCATTGAGGACGAAAGCATGAGAACAGGCCTTCTCAGTGGTGCCTCCCCATTTCAGAATGCTCTTCCTAGGGAGACTAGGCTGGCACCATCACTATCTGTTTTTAGGTGCCATTTTTATTCACCCAGGCTTTTGGACCCTGTTTTGAAGGGTAAATTATGCTTGCGGCCTCTTCTGCTGATCACCCTTTTTGTTGGGTGGGCTGAGCTACATCTGCCCTTTTATAAATGTAACCAAGGAGTATTTTAGGCTGCTTTTTACTTGCTTTTAATGTTCCTGTAAGTCTCTTTGAGTTACATTTGTGGAAAATATGACTAATAAATACAACAACAAACAAACAAAAACCTCCTCAAACTTTGTCTCTCTTGCTGACTAGGCCAACTGCAAACAGTTACTCTTCAGACCCATGCATAATGTGATTAGCAGCTAGCATCCACCAGCCATGAACGCCCATTTAAGCAGACACATTCCAGTTGTCAATATTGGTTGAGGAACAATATTCAGCTATTGCAAAAGTACCAATAAAAGGCATCTCTCCCTGCAGGGCCCTGGAGCACAGGGTGAGTTATTTCCTTATGCTATGCAACACTTTGCAGTTGGTGAATAAATGCTAATACAGAGAAGACAGTGAATAAATCCAAGACCCTTTTAGAATGTGGCTTTGAGGGGGGGTGTTTATTGGGTTATTGCTTTTGGCTTGATTTTATATGTTGTGGTCTTGTTGTGAACTGCCCTGAGACCTCCAGGTATAGGGCGGTGCATAAGTTGAATAAATAATAATAATGATGATTAATAAATGCACTTAGCAGCAGCTGAGTAAATGCTAACACAGAGAAGACAGCATATTCCAACATTCTAGTGTGATAAAAGGAATGGGCTGGGATGGGGAGAGAAGAGAAAGCCTTACTCGAGTCCTTTCTTCAAAGCTTCAAAAACCTTCTTCACTTGTTGTGGCTTGGGATCCCAGATGACCATCCCTTTCTGCAGAGAGGGATAGGTCTTGGCAGATTTCACTGACATTTTAGACCTCGTAGAACCTTTGCTGAGAGACTTCCTGCAGAAAGGGCAATTAAGAGAGAGAGAGGAGACCATGATGAATTTAAACAAGAACACAAATTGCTTGGCTTCACTGCCCATGATGAGGATGTAAGATTAGAAAGATGAGCCTAATTCCAAAACCTAATCCTCTGCATGTTAACTCAAAAATTAAATGCTACCCAGTCGAAGTGTGTTCTGGTTAGGAAGAGAACAGTGCTACCTTAACAAACACATCTTCCAAAACCAGTGCAGGGGGGAATCACATGCTGCCCATTGGTTGCTTTTTACACATATCCTCCTGATACTCCTGTACCTCTGGAGCATATAAACCAGGCTTCCTCAAACTCGGCCCTTCAGATGTTTTTGGCCTACAACTCCCATGATCCCTAGCTAGCAGGACCAGTGGTCAGGGATGCTGGGGATTGTAGTCTCAAAACATCTGGAGGGCCAAGTTTGAGAAAGCCTGATTTAAACCTTCCTATCCTTGCCAGTTCTCCTCCAGAATTTAATTTTTTTATTTATTTGATAGAATTTTACACCATCCCTCCACAAAGGTTTCCTAGCTGGTTACAATAAGACCTACTGAAAGACAAAACAGCAGTCAGAAACAAGCTAGCAAGCAGCATTAAACAAAAAAACAAAAAAAAAAGGCTGAGATGTTTTTATTTTATTTCATTTTTAAATAAATTGTTTCCCTGGAACAGAAGAGTTAACAGTATTAGTAGAGTAGCCATTTAAGCATTGCCAAAGAGAGAGAGAATGATTCATCTATAAAAAAAGACAAAGGATGTATCCAATATTAGCCCTACTTAGAGTAGACCCATTCAAATTCATGGGCATGGCTAACTTAAACCCAAGGGGTAGAGTTCAACGTCATGCTATGACGAATGTTCCATCTTCACAAACTTTACAGCTCGTCAAATGGAACAATCATCCAACCTCTTTCTCTCCCTGCCACACAGTATGCAGGTCTGGGGTTCACCAACCCATACCCCTAGCCAATGTTGGGGGGCATGGGAAAGAGGCGGGAGAGAAGCCCTGTTGAGCGAGCGAAAATCTCCGTATTTATTTATATACAGGCATCAGAATGGCTTCTAAACAGTTTGCAAGTGTAAAACTAATTATAAGAGCATACACACATAACCAAAATACACACATAATGAAAGCACCCATGATTAAAATGGACACTGGAACAAACTCATTGAAACAGAGTAGCCACTGAAACTATTAAAACAGCTATTAGATCTGGAGATTCAAATCAGGAGAATGTTTGCCTAAACATGTTGCTGGACTTCCATTGCCCATTACCGCCAATCATTGGCTATGCTGGCTGGGCCTGGCAGGAGATAGAGTCCCATCAACATCTGAAGAGCCACAGGTAACGCACACACCCTCAATCCATGTATTAACCAGTGCCATTTGGTCTGTACCCTAACCAACAGCCACCTGGGAAGAATATACCTAACCATGTCTGCTCAGAAGGAAGTCCCAATGAATTCAGTGAGGTTTATTCCCAAGCAGGTGGGGATAGGATCACAGCCTAAACTACTGCGGCGTTTCACTGCAATGTTAATGGATAATAGCATCTGTTTCACTTACACAATGCACAGTTTCTTGACAGTAAGCCCCACTGAAGTCACTGAGACTACGTTCAGTTAAACATAGTGGGCGGCACCCTACTAAGTCCTACTCAGAGGAGACTCAACGGCGGAGCATATGCCCACGCTGCCCAGGGCAGGGAGGTGCACTCCCAAGGGGGTGTGGTGCGGAAGGTGCCCTCCCAGGTACGGGATAGCCGCTCGGGTGCCTGGAGCGGCGCGCACGCCCTGCAGCTGGGGGCAGAGCAAGCCACCCATGGCGGACATTTGGCGCACCGCCCGCTCGTAACTCCCAAGCTCCCCCAAGCTGTCAAAATGAAGGGGGAAGAGGGGAATGTTGCTGGCAAAGTGGAGCAGCTCTCTCCCTTCCCCCGAGGGCTCAAGGTAGGCTTGGGAGTTGCGGGCAGGCAGTGCACCAAATGTCACCCCCCTCAGTGAGGGCACCCGGTGCAGTCCGCCCCCACCACCCCCCCTTCCTATGCAGACCCTGAGCAGACGCACTGAAATTAACAAACCTTAGTCAGTCATGTCCTCAGCTTCAATGGGGCGACTCTGAGTAGGACCAGCATTAACTACCACTCAGAAGAATTAGGTTGTACGCTATTTGTCTAGAGAGAAATTCAAAGAAAGAAAGAAAGAAAGAAAGAAAGAAAAGTCCCTATCATTCTCTCTACTTAAACAATGAGTCATCTTACCAAGATAAAGAAAACTAAATCTTTAAACTTCTGCCCTCCTTGCTAAACCAACTTATTTTTTGTTCCTCCTTTGGAACACAGGACAGAACAAGTTGCATTAATTTAAGAGTCCCACTTGGAACAAAAAGAACTCAGTATCTTTTACAGCATAATACTATGTAGCTGTGTAAATACAAAGAGCCACTGAACCACTGAGCATTGCTCACCTATCCAAGTAAAGGCAATCCAGGGAATCTCTGTTGAAGGTGGTCTTTTTTCTGACAGATTCCTGGCTAGTTTCTCCCTCTCTTGGAATACTTGATGATTTGTACCTGACTTTTACTAACTCCCTTGTCCTTTAATCATTTATTTACTTTTCAGAAAGTCAAGCTCAGTGAATTCTTGCCTCCTTTAACATCATCCATTCTCTCCTTGCAATCAACTGGATTTCCACCCCACCTGTTAATAAACAAACAAACAAAGGCTGCAGCAGACACACCTGGCTAGTCCTATCAGCTGTTGTGAGAGTGGTGTCTTGGAGCTCAATCCTACCCATGCTTACTCAGAAGCAAGACCCACCATTTCCCAAGAAAGTACATTTACCATTGCAGCCTCAGGGCTCTTTACAATGTCTGCTGGTGCAAGAGCTCTTGGTTAGTGGATGGGTGAGTTTTAGGGTTGTGCAACAGAGAGATCCAGTGCAAAAGCTGCACTAGCGGAAACTCGTTGTGTAAGCGATTACACAATCCATCGGGCAACAAAGTTATCAGCAAACTGCTTGTGCCCTTCTCTTACGCGGTAGCATTCTGCTGGTGCAAAACATTTTGCCAGCAGCAACAAATATGCCACTTAGTGACTTTAATTTAGCACTACGTCAGAGAAAACCCTCCGTTATATGCAGCAATTGATGTGTACCTAGAATTTGCCCTCTCTAGGAATGAATGAAGGTTATCTGATGAGAGGGATAATGTGATCCTATTAAAGCTTCCAGTCACTTACTTAAGAATCTCAGTGATGTATGCTTAGATCATACTGCAGCTCTCTGCCAAGATCAGAGTAATGTCCATTGAACTCAGTGTGATTGTCTACTAAGTAAATATGCAGAGTCTGGACCTGCACAGTTCTAACCCCTGAAGACTGCTTTCGGCATAATCAGAAATGTTTGGGGGGCAGCCAGCTGATCCTTCATTGTTTTGCATAACTATGTGGCAAAGCAAGGATCAGAAGTGGCTATGAGCTGACTCAACAGGCCTTAGTTTATACCTGCTGAAGTTCCTTCTTCTAAAGCAGTATTTCCCAAACTAGGGTCTCCAGCTGTTTTTGGACTACAACTCCCATCATCCCTGACCACTGGCCCCACAAGCTAAGGATTATGGGAGTTGTAGTCCAAAAAAAACACCACAGCTGGAAACACTGTTCTAAAGGTTTGGGAGCCCTTTTTGGATCTGGCCACCCTGCATTGGAAACAAGTCTCTACTTGCATTGACTTTAATGCAAACTATGAAGTTGAGTTCACACTATGGGTGGAAAGCTCACGGGGTGCTCCATCTGTCTTCAACCTTATTATCAGACCAGCAAATATCAACTTACTTATTATCTACCACCTGCCATGGGACCCAAAGTTCTAAGTCAATGATCACACCCCAACCTGCTTAGCTTATGGGCCCTGGGACCTATTATCCTGACCCAGCAAAGATGATGCCTTATCAAAACACTCATTCAGGTGCATTATCCTTTGATTTTCAACTTAAGCTGAAACAAGGACAATTAAATGCAATAGAAGGTGGAATTCTACCAAATATTATTGTGGTCAAGACCCAATGCACTGTTAAACCTCCTAAAGAATGTTGATGTCAATTGGCTTCAGTGCCTTTTAAGACAGTGTTGGATTGTGGCCTGCATCTTGCAATGTTCAAGCTCCAAACTCATTGTAGTTTGAGCGTCTGGCCATAAACATTGCCTACAAGTGGTGCAGAAATCATAAATAACAGCAGCATCTGTTTTCTGGAAGTCCTGAAGCCTACTTGTAGTGCAAGCCCTTCCTTGCTAAAATGGGACTTCGGTTTTGCAATCTCTCCACCACCCTGCAAAAGTACATAAAGACCTGATTGTTGTTGCTTTTAAAAATGCTTTACAACTGGATAGTAACTGGATAGCCTTCAGGGAAATGTAAACTCGCTTCTTTGGAGCATTCTTACTCTGCTGGAGGTGCTCTGGTCCTGAAAACAGCTGTTCGACTCCTTTCCCTGCAAGAACTCCCACTATGTACTGCAGTCTCAAATCTGTTTGTTCAATTGCCTGCTTGGTTTTCTTCTCCCTGCCCCCCCAATTCCCCGCCTTTTGAAGTTTAGACAACCAGCACAATGCAGAAAGGACTTGCTGGAGCTTGATATTGTTCAGGTTTTATAATGGAAGTGGAAATCCATGTACGCATTTTGAAGTGAGTGTGATAAACCTAAGAGTCTGTCACCTTCTCCAGATTGGTGAGATCATCTTCAGAGGCCCTAGCAAACGGTAGCCAACACTCTATATTTTGTTGGACTCACCACAGCCATCATGACCAATGGTTAGAGATTATGGGAGTTGATGTCCAAAAATATCTGGAAGGCACCATGCTGACTACCCAGTCCATATCCTCCCCTCATCCAAAATCAGAGGTTATGAAACCCCTTTGAAAGGAAGATTACTTTATTTTCTGTTTAGTGCTACATGAAAACTTTTAGATTTGCCCAAGCCTTTTAGTTATATGTCTATCCTAGGCGAGGCTGTTAACTCAGTTTTTACTGTGTTTGCTTTCACTATATTCATATGATGATGATGATGATGATGATGATTGCTTTATTATACACCTTTAGGCATTCCTTTTTAACCAGGCATTTAGTTGATTTGATTGACATCCTATGCCCTATTAAAATGTGGTTCTTTGGGGGGAGGGGAGCGTTATTGGATTGCTGTTTTTATTTTGATTATATATACAGTGTTACATACTGTATACGGGTTACATACGCTTCAGGTTACAGACTCCGCTAACCCAGAAATAGTACCTTGGGTTAAGAACTTTGCTTCAAGATAAGAACAGAAATCGTGCTCCGGCGGCGCATCAGCAGCAGGAGGCCCCATTAGCTAAAGTGGTACCTCAGGTTAAGAACAGTTTCAGGTCAAGAACGGACCTGCGGAATGAATTAAGTACTTAACCCGAGGTACCACTGTACAGTACTGCAGTGCCAGGGCAGAACCTGCTATTTCCCAGAACTGTAAAGCAGTAAGAATCACCTATTGCAATGGCAACAACACATGCAACATCCTATAACGTGGTTTAGACACAAGTGTTTCACGTTAAGAACAGACCTCCGGAATGAATTAAGTACTTAACCCGAGGTACCACTGTATTCTGGTTTTATATTTTTATTTTGTTCTGTGATCCGCCCTGAGACGTCCAGGTATAGGGTGGTATATAAATTCAATATATAATAATAAATTAATAATAATAATTTATATTTGTATACCGCCCCTCATATGCAGATCTCAGGGCAGTTCATGACATAAAATGACAATATAAAAACCACAAAATAAGTACAGTGGTACCTTGGTTCTCAAACGCCTTGGTGCTCAAACAACTTGGAACCCAAACACTGCAAACCCGGAAGTAAGTGTTCCGGTTTGCGAACTTATTTCAGAAGCCGAACGTGCTCCATTTTGAGTGTTACACTTCCGATTTGAGAGCCACACTTCCATTTTGAGTGTTACGCTGACGTCTGCCTGTTTTTGCTATTTATTTTGCATTTTTGTTTTTGCGGCTCTTTTTGTTTTGTTTTTGCGACTGTGTGGAACCCAGTCCAGCTACTGATTGATTGTGCGACTGCAGTAGATAGTTTATTGCTTTCATTTTAAAAGGCACTGGATGTCAATCTTGTAAGCCACTCTGAGAGTCATGGCTGGAGAGCAGGTGAAAAATATTTTAAACCAATTAAAATGGTACCTTCTCTGTGTTCAAACCCCTTCGCTCTCCCTCACATGCACCTGTGCCTGCTCCACATACATTCATTTGAGTACACAAGCGTGAGATGCAACACTCTAACACAACATTCAAGCACATAGGCCTCATTCGGTCATTGCAATAAGACTGGGTTTCTGGTTTAGTGGTTTGATAAGATGAAGGAGCATGCTGCTGCGTGCTTCCTGGATAATCCCACTTCACGATTCCTCTGGAGTGGGCAGGAAAAATAAACCAGGAAACCTTGGCATCCAGTTATATCTAGGCCTGGGGATGGATGAATCTGTCACATTTGGTTTCTCTACATTTTGCACCCTGCTTGACTGTTAAGTACAGTGGTACCTCAGGTTAAGTACTTAATTCGTTCCGGAGGTCCATTCTTAACCTGAAACTGTTCTTAACCTGAAGCACCACTTTAGCTAATGGGGCCTCCCACTGCCACCGGAGCACGATTTCTGTTCTCATCCTGAAGCAAAGTTCTTAACCTGAAGCACTATTTCTGGGCTAACGGAGTCTGTAACCTGAAGCATATGTAACCTGAAGCATATGTAACCCGAGGTACCACTGTACTCAGCTTGCATATCTGCAAGTATCTAAGTGGGGGAATAGCAGGGGGTTTCACATGAAAATGGCACATGGGCAAGAACTGAAACCCCAGGAACATTGGAATACACCCTGTACTGAGTCAGGACAGGTCACCCAAGCCCTTCATTGTCAACACTGGCTGGCAGCAGCTCTCCAGAATTTCAGACAGGGGTCTCAGTCCTACCTAGAGATGCCTGGGATTGAACCGGAAACCTTCTGCATGCATAGCAGATGTTCTACTGAGCTAGCCCTCCTTGCCCAGAGCTATCAATCCATTTTGGGGAGCAGGGAAACGAGCTACTAAAACGAATGAGATGGGAGAGCAGCTTGTGGCTTTGAATGGCTAGGTTGAGCCAGAATAACAAGACGCAAATAAGCTGAGGAAAAGAAAAAGGAACTTGTTGCTTGTAACTGTGCGACTCACATTAACTTTCGGCTCTGCGCATTGCTGAACCCAGCAAAGGAGCAGCTCCTGCTGATCCTTCCCCCATCAGCAGGGGAGTCAAATGTGAGTTTCACCGACATGGTTCCTGGTTAGCGTGTCTGTTGCCTCTGGAAATAAAAGGAGAAACAGATGAAATTAGACAGGAAGTAGATAAAATGCTCAACTATTTGTACAGAACAAGGGGTTATTTTTTTAAAAAAAAACATCCTGCAGTCAGGATAGCTCAGTTGGTAGAGCATGAAACTTTTAAATCTCAGGGTTTAGGTACAAGCCCCATATTGGGTGAAAGGTACCCTGCACTGCAGGGGGTTGGACTAGATGACCCTCATGGTCCCTTCCAACTCTATGATTCTATTATTCTATGATACTACGTATCGATTGATATCATGTATTGTCCTTAAAAGGAGAATTGCAGGAGTATTGGCTCGTGCACTGACTGCATTCCCATCGTCCCCCTACAGATCTGTCTGCTAAATGCATTTTCTACATTTCCCCGCCACAACAAACAACCCATTTAATACATCCTCCATTGTATCAGCAGCTGCACCAGCTAATCTGTTTTGCAAGCTGTAATTGTGTTCTTCCTTTGCTGCCCCAAGGAAACACTGAGGGTGCTTGTAGTTGTGGATGATTTAGCAGTACAGTGGTCCCTTGGTTTACGAACTTAATCCGTTCCAGAGGTCTGTTCTTAAACCGAAACCGTTCTTAAACCAAGGCGCGCTTTCCCTAATGAGGCCTCCCGCCGCCGGTGCCCTCCCACTGTTCAGATTCTGTTCATAGACAGAGGCAAAGTTCTCAAACACTACTTCCAGTTTTGTGGAGTTTGTAAACCAAATCGTTCATAAACAGAGCTGTTCTTAAACTGAGGTACCACTGTACTCAATCGTTGCTGTTCCGGGACGGTTGAGCGGTATGCAATTCGCATATAAAATGGGTGATGTGGTGAGAGACCATTGGTCCAAATAGCTCAGGATGGCCTATGATGACAGGCAGTGATTCCCTAGGGAGATTCAAGGACTAAACTTGGGACCTTCTCCATGGACATCATGTGCTCCACCGCTGAGTTATGGCTTTTCTCCACATGCATGGTCTGGGTTGCACCACTTACTCTACAGCCCAACTCCTGTGCTGTACATTTGCTTGGAAGAATGTAGCACCAAGCTACTGTTGTTGTTGTTGCTGCTGCTGCTGCTGCTGCTGCTGCTATTACCAAAATACGCACACATACATGAGATCTCATTTCTGGGCAACTGTTCAGCTGCTCCAAGCTAGCATCCCTAGCAAAACAGAAGTCCCTGCCTCTCTTACAATTTCCAATCAATGGTCCAGCTGTCAAGGGAAGAAAGAGATGAAGTCAGACTATTCATCGGCACCAAAATGCCCCTTCCCCCCAGCATCAGCCTGGCAGTGCTTTGCATAATTCTGTAACTGGATCCACACCAATGGGCTTGCACAGACTTCCACTGAAAGTTACACTGGACTCTTGTTTGTTTTTCCAGAAGTTGCCCGATATAGCTTTACCACGCCAGGATCAAAATCTTGGTCGCTGGCAGGCTTTCGCTCCCAAAGCACAACATTGCCTCTCGTTAATTAATCTAACTCAGGTCATGTTGGCTTCCCCCAGCAAACGTGGTTTCCTTTGGCTGCTGCTTCTGTTCCCATCATCACTCACTCCCTTTTGTTCCTTTGGGGAATTTGGATTCCCAGTGCTGCATGTGCGTAGAATTTAGACCCATGTCTTAAAATGCAACATACATGTAAATTCTGTCCATGCAGCGAAAGGATGACAATGAATCTCTCTCTCTCTCTCTCTCTCTCTCTCACACACACACACACACACACAGCTGAGCTGCAAAGTAAGCAACAAATCTAAATGTTTGCCTTTAAAAAAGAATTGAGAGGCACCCAATTCCTGCCACTCATTCCAAGCAAAGCTCCCATTCACATCCGGAAGAGAACTTCTCTAACTTCCAGACAAAATGCCTTTTTGAATGCTATTAGCAATTGTGTAGATGGGCTTTCAAGGAGGAAACAGCATATCCAGGGGGCCTGAACTGAATGGAAACTTTGGGTAGTGGCCAGGGGTGGGCAGGGAAGAGCTTTAACCTCCCTCCCACCCTGTTGCAGTCAAATCTGCTCCCCCCATGCCCGCTATTTAAACCGGGCCGGGGGGAGCTCCCATTAGCAACTGCTATAAAAATGAAACATTTGCATGTGTAGTCTGAATAAGGTACTGAGGTTTAAATGGTACTGGACCACCATATTGTACCATCCAGCTGCCTTGATTCAGCAGCCATCCAATGTCAGGCTCTCAACAGAAAGCGAATGTGCTGATCTATATAGTGACCACAACCATTTTCACCCCAAGTCAGCACTTTGTTGCACAAATTTGTATAGAATGTGTCATTTCCCCCAAGGGGACTCAGTTGTTCCAACTGTGCAATGAGGGAAATTCTAATGATCTCCAGAGTTCAACATGATCAATAGATTGGTGATCTGCTAACCTGGTTTGGCTGCAGGATAAAAGGTAAAGGAGCCCCGGACAGTTAAGTCCAGTCAAAGGAGACTATGGGGTTGCGGCACTCATCCCGTTTTCAGGCCGAGGGAGCTGGTGTTTGTTCACAGACAGCTTTCTGGCTCATGTGGCCAGCATGACTAAACCGCTTCTGGTGCAACGGGACACCGTGACGGAAGCCAGAGTGCACGGAAACACCGTTTACCTTCCCGCCACAGCAGTGCCTATTTATCTACTTGCACTAGTGTGCTTTCGTACTGCTAGGATGGCAGGAGCTGGGACAGAGCAACGGGAGCTCACCCCGTTGCAGGGATTCGAACCGCCAACCTTCCAATCGGCAAGCCCAAGAGGCTCAGTGGCAGGATATTCCCATGAGGCCTGCAAGCTGACTTGGTGCGAAACAGAGAAAAGTCATTCCATCATTGCAATCATTAGAGCTGAAGTAAATAAACCACTTAATAATAAGGTGTTTTTTTTTTAAAAAAAAAGACCTTGCATAACAAGCAATTAAAAGAAGACATTTGCAGGCTTGACCTTGTGGTTATTTCCTGACCCCGCTTCCATGACACCAGATGTGCAGGGAATAAATAAATTCCTGAGGCCTCTGTTTTATTCTCTGGCGTGGAAATCTTTGCAATATCAACTCAAGAAAGTTGCCATGGTGTGTGTTCTGCCGCTGGAAGAGTGCAATGGAAGGGGAAGGGGAAGGAGGGCATTGCCCTCTTGTTGACGTTCCAAAGAATGTTTTCGGTCCTCTTCTGTTGCACCCAGAAAATCAGTTCATATGCGCCCAGGACCATCGTCTTCTGCTGAACCCAGACTCTGGCACCAAGTCAGAAGTGCAGCAGCCAAGAAGAAGAGAAGGTCCACCGGACAAATGCCTGTCAGGTTCTATTAGGCTGGGAACAGGCACCAGAACTGCTTCTTTTCTAGAAAGGTTGAAGAAAGTTTGAAACTGGGATCACAGCTTATGGTGCGTACACTCAGCCCACTGTAACACAAGAGCATCAGAAGCTGTCAGATGCTGAGTTGGATCATTGGCCTATCTAGCTCAGTAGTGTCTTCCAGATGGTGGTGGACCACAGCTGCCACCACCCCGACCATTCACCATGCTGCTTGGGAGTGATGGGAGTTGCAGTTTAACATCTGGAGGACACAATTCTGGCTACACAGTTTAGAGCACAGACTCTCTACTGATTGGCTCTCCAGGGAGTTCTTCCATCCTTACCTGGAGATGTCAGGGGTTGGACCAGGGATTTTCTGCATGCAAGCCTCGTACTCTACCACCTGGCTCTTGTTGCTGTTAAAGCTCAGTTCAAGGTGCTTGCAAAGGAGTAGGTGCTGCAGTGCACAAAGTCACCAACTGAAATATACTCGGGGGACTGTAGGGAGCCAGTGTGGTGTAGTGGTTCAGAGCAGTGGACTCATAATCTGGTGAACCGGGTTTGATTCCCTGCTCCTCCACATGCAGCTGCTGGGTGACCTTGGGCCAGTCACACTTCTTTGAAGTCTCTCAGCCCCACTCACCTCACAGAGTGTTTGTTGTGAGGGAGGAAGGGAAAGGAGAATGTTAGCCACTTTGAGACTCCTTACAATAGTGATAAAGCGGGATATCAAATCCAAACTCCTTCTTCTGTACTGATTTCATGCTCTTTATTGCAGCTTGTAAAACAGTGGTTCATTTGCCCCCCAAACCTCAGGCTTTTATATACATTATTTATGCAATGAGTCCCATCTGATTGGCTGATTCTGCTTCCCTCCTGGAGCCTGATTGGTCTTTTCCTGCAGGCCAATCAGTTGTTGCATTCTAGGTTCCTACTTGCCTATTGTTCTAGGATCCAAGCTTAGTACATAACACCAGCCTTGGGTCATCCACCATGAACCCCAAGACCTTCGCACTGATTCTTCGAACAAAAGCCAGCTAGAAGACCCCACACATTCTTGGCTTCTTTGCTGCTCCTTCCCTTCCCCTGTTCCTTTAGATCCCAGTGCTAGCCTAGGAGAAATTATGCTAGCGCAGTGAGTGGGAAATTGGAGCTGAACCTAGGCATTTCTGAGGATCCCAGGGGCTACTTTTGGCACGCGTGTGTGTCCACTCTGCTCTCTGTGTGTTACCTGTGTATGTGGAACATGTGAGCCTTTCCATGAAGCTCTAATTCGGATTTGGGGGGGGGGGATCAAATTTAAGGAAGTGCAGAAACATATTTACAACTGCTCCTAATTAAATAGAATCTGGCCTCCATTCAAATGCTTCTTTCCCTGCCAGGGAGGAGCTCGGAAGGAGACCTCCAAAGATGTATTGCTGAAATCCATCTGCAAAGTTCACTTGGCCCGGTCAGGCTGAGCTCAAGCCTCTAAGTATTTCTCTTCCCTTGCCCTCCACTTGGGGTATGTGCACAGTCAACTTCAGCAGGGGGGAGACAAAACACTGAAATGAAATGGGGGCTAGTCAGTTAGAATCGTAGAATTGAATCATAGAATTCTAGAGTTTGAAGGGACCATCCGGGTCATCTAGTCCAACCCCCTGCAATGCAGGGGGTTCAATTTTCATTCATTCCACAACAATTCACGCACAGAACAATCAAGGAGCATTCCGATTTGGGGTGGCCACCCAGATGCCTGTGGGAAACCTACAAGCAAAATTCAAGCACAACAGCATGACCCACGCCCAGCAACTAGTATTCAGAAGTAATATTGTCCCCGACAGTGGCGGCAGAGCAGAGCCATTATGCCTAATAGCCATCAATAACCCTCTCCTCCATGAATTTGTC